AGTTTTCTGGTTATAATCGGACACTGGGACAAGTTATGTCCGAACACTCTGGGTCATAACCTATTACAGCTGTCCGGCCACTGATACATTGACGCGTTCCATTATTTATGTAAATATTTAATTAATAATTGATATATGTGGGTTTAAATAATTCTTCCCTGCTTAAGGGAATCTTAAGTTTTATATTAAAAATCTTTCTAATATTATAAATTGTATTATTTGTGACGGCCTACGCTTAAACGTTCGGCCGCTGGGACATTTATCTTATATCTATATTATTTTGTATTATTGTTCGGTCTGTTATCTGCATGTTCACTGTTAAGAAATGTAGCTTATAAGTTAAATGGCCTGTTATATGTTTCCAGGTTATGCAACAAATTGTTTTTATAATTTTTGACAAAAATAAAATATTATTAAGTATAGATACCAATTTAAATTAAAGTTATATTTTGTCATTAAATATCTATTTATATCAATATTTCTCGTCAGCATACTAGTTTTCTGGTTATAATCGGACACTGGGACAAGTTATGTCCGAACACTCTGGGTCATAACCTATTACAGCTGTCCGGCCACTGATACATTGACGCGTTCCATTACTTATGTAAATATTTAATTAATAATTGATATATGTGGGTTGAAATAATTTTTCCCTGCTTAAGGGAATCTTAAGTTTTATATTAAAAATCTTTCTAATATTATAAATTATATTATTTGTGATGATCTACGCTTAAACGTCCGGCCACTGGGACATTTACCTTACTTTTTCTTTTGTAAATTTTAGATACGTATATTATCGATTATACGATTAAAATATAGATTAATTTTTATGACTCACTCCGTCCGGATGATATTTCGGGACGCCACTCGGCGTCGTATTGTTTCCGCAAAATTCAGCCAAAACATCCTGGAGTTTCCGCGTGGAATCTGAAAAATAAATAACGATTCAATAATTCGTTGTATTTAATTGAGTCTTATACTATGATATAAGAAGAAAGCGACAATTGTCAGACATCGAAGAAATGATCAAAACTTAAATCTAAATTTAAATTTAAATCAATCTAAATAATAGCATATTTTTTATATTGATCGATAACACAGTAGGACACAAAATTCTCTCCGAAGTGCGATAGTACGTTTCCCGAAGATTTTTTCGCGCTGAACACGATGCTGTTGTCTGAATTTACTTAGCATGTCAGAATTTAGAGTAAATTGGAATGAGAGAGGCCAAAAATGGCGTTTTTGGCCATTTTTAACATTTTTTTACGACAAAAAAAAACTGGTTTCTAAATAAACTTAATGGCATCTGAAAGTATAATTCAAGAGCTTTCAAATGAATTTCGGTTCATGATCGTACGACTTTTTTTCATCAAGTTATAGCTGTTTGAATTTTAGACATTCTGTATAATTTACAAGAAAGGTAAATACATACTTATATATAGCAACAAATAAAACAAGCTGGAAATTGTGCAAATTAGAAACTTGCACATTGTTTCCTCATCATTCTACTCCGCTCACAAAGCTTAAGCTCGCTAAAGCAAGCGGGTTTTTCAATTTTGGCTTCCTCATAGATGAAGCTTTGTGAGCAAAATAGAAAAATAAAAAAGCAATGTGTTATTTTCTAATTTGCACGTATTTTTTATTTTTATATAACGGTTATATAAAATTTAAAGATCATATTTTAAAGTTAGATAATAAATAAAGTAATTTTATTTTAATAAAAATTTAACATTTCTCAATATTTTTACTTATTGAAAAATTCAAAATTTCATAAAAATAAATCCTTTCACCAATTCTCATCAAATTTAATACCAACCATCCTTTAATAATATTCTAATCATGTAAGAATATTTAGCCCGATATCTCAAAATTTGCGGAAGTTAGAGCAACCACACCCTTTTTTAGAAAAAATCGAAATTCTATAAAAAATAAACCCTTTTATCGATTCTAGCTATATTTAATAATAACCATCCGTTAATGATACTCTATTTATGTAAAATAATTTAGCTCGATATCTCAAAATTTGCGGAAGTTAAAGCAACCACACCATTTTTTTGAAAAATTTTATAAAAAAAATTTATAAAAAATAAACCCCTTTACCGATCCTAGCCAAATTCAATACCAACCATCCTTGAATGATACTCTACCCATGTAAAAAAATTTAGTTCGATATCTCAAAATTTATGAAAGTTAGAGCAACCACGTCCTTTTATTGCACATACACACATACGGACATTTTTTAAAAACATGATTTTTCGACATTTTAGAACGTTCAAAACACATCGGCATCAAAATTTCAAAAAAAAAAATTTTTCACGAAAACAAAGCTTTCTCTATGAGGAAGCAAAAAGTAATTGTAATATGAATTTATTTGCAAAAAATAGATCAAGTATAAACTTTGAGTACACATGTTATTACATTTAATTGTCAATTCAAAATGGCGGAATTATTGACTGCAAAGCGCTTCTCAAGCAACTCTTATATAGTCCAGTAAAATAGTATCAAAAACACCGAATATCTACAAAACGGATAGACAAGCCAATTTTTTGAGGGTGAGTAGAAGGTCATAGGAGATGCCCGAATTCACAAAGTTCCAACAAAATTTCCCTGTGCGTCGGCGGCCATCTTCAAAATAGGGGTAAGTTTGGATATCTCGGCTCCTATTGGTCGAATCTTTTTCCTTTTTTTTTAATTTTGTAGGAAAAAATATTTGCTACAACTTTTGTTTGAAAATTTTTTTAATAGCTGTCAAGGAAAGAAAGTTACAACCAAAAAAATGCCGTCAATT